ACCTCCGTCATTACAGCGCTTTCACCCACATGGGTTGGATGTCCAAAAATAGCCCATATGTCTGTGTTTGATCCCTTTTCGTCTTATCCAATGCATGGGGAGTTTCGGTGCTCATATTTGAGTTGGCTGAATTTAAGTATAATTTGCATTTTAACTTCCTGCATGGTTCAAAAAAGTATTAATAACTGTTTTAAAACATTTATAGACTGCTCTGTTTTGTTTCTGGGAATGCGGAACGAAAACTATTCATTGGAGTCTTCCCAGGGCAGAAAGGTGGCTAGGTATGTTTGATAGGCTGTGACTGAGTGTTTACTGTGAATCAAAAATACTAGAAAAATTATGATTGTTCAGATACAGTGACAGAAAAACTTGAATTGTTCAACCAGTGATTGTAGGTACCTGCAACTTGATGATGAAGTTCCTGCACACCTGCTAACAAGCTACATTTTACAAAAAAAAGATTTATTACAAAAGAGAATAGAGTGATATACTAGAGAATAAAGTGCTTAGTAACAGCATCAGGATGTTCCTAAAAAGCTTGTAACAATTTGAGCTCAAGGCTACACTCTTCATCCACAGAGTCTTCATTGGATAATTACGGCTCATGCTTCACCGCAAGTGCCAAGTCCGCCTCTGCAAGTCGCATATCAAGTCGGGTAACATCCTTGAGAAGACCTCTCAAACAAAGGCCGCGCCATCTTCCACAACCCTAGTGATTTCTGGATTTCACCTCTTTTCTCATATATATCAGCAATTTGAACCATGCAATCTGCCCTCCAGCGATGAACATCCATGAAAGTGAATCCATCAAGTGCAACAATGAATAGGCTGAGGGCTGATTCATCATCCCTTCCAGCAGCTAAGAGTTGCCCAAGACAGTGGAGAGCTTTCATTGTATCTAACTTGGTCTTGATGTCAGTCCCAATGATATAAATATTGCAGCCCATCTCAGGGTATTTTGGAAGTTGTTCATCCCTGTGGAAAGATCTGCAAGTCTTTCCAGACATTCAAGCATCCGAAATATTGAAAAGCCATGTTTTGGTGATGTAACATAAGCCGAAAATGTGGCATTTGCCGCGGAATGATTGCCATCACGAAGGTAGAGCTCTGCTAATGCTACATCCAGGAAACCACTCGTTGTTGCCTGTTGAAACCCAGACAGGGACTGAATGTGACATCGACAGGTTTCCAGATTTTGATAAACTTGTTTGGAATCTACACCAATGGCTATATCAATAAAACCAATGTTGAGGTTTGCAACAATTGCATGGTAGCTTGTTGGCCGAAGTGTTGATGACATTGAGATGTGGAGTTGCCGTGACTCCAGATACTCTGTTTTATACATATGTATCTCGGCCTCTGCATTCATGATAGCCACGTCGAGATGACCTCCTTTGGGTAGCCCACAAGACATCCAAAGGCTGCTGGCGCCATGAAGAATGGTTTGATCATCCCGATAGTTTGCAAGTATTGTGTTGCACTTTGACTGGATGTAAAGTGATCGTGCCTGTTCGAAGATATTCCCGAGATGGACACTATATGCTTCTTGCTTCCTTGCATATTCCAGTGCACCTGATGCATTTCCCATTTCGATCATGATTATGGCTATGCCTGCAAGGACTCGTCCACCAATGGTTGTGGGGCATCCAGTACTATCCGAGAAGCGACGTGCCTGATGGTAACATTCAAGAGCATGAGCCATGTTTGATTGTTCCCATTCAAAATATGTGCCCAGTGCAAAATACCATTTGGCTGATGATAAATCAGTGCTAGAGCAGGCAAGGGAAAGAATGCCTCACCCTGTTCAATTGAATCCTTGAATTTGAAATATTCATTTCCCAACATGATTTGTCTCTCGGCATCAATGACAGGTGCCTGGCCAGCACTGCGAAAGGATTCTACAAGGTAATCACCAAACATTGGACTCTTTTCCCCTTCCATCATTCTTTCAGCAAGAATAGGGAAAAGAGGTGAGCATGTGAACTCTATGCACACATAGAATCTGTTTAGGAGCAGAATACTTTTAACATCACAACCCTGCATCATGAGAGTATGGAGGAAAACACTGTTGAAATTACCCAAATTTCGTAGAATTTGTGCGACTATGTCAGTATCAGTTGGATTGACATATTGGAACTGATTCCAGAGATTGAGAAGTTCATGAAAGTATTGGCATAGCTTGATTTTTAGAGCATTTGTTGGAGGATAAACACTGAGTACATGCTCCCGAATTGGAACCAGAACTTTGAGTTGGTGATCCTTATCAATGAATGCGAGCGATGTTCGAATCAAAGTACTCTTGCAGGCCAAAATTTGGGGAATGGGGAGCCTCATCTGGATCAAATCGTGCTCTGAAAGGCCATCTGGAAGCATGGACAAAACACTGAGCAGATCCTGTGCTCCTGATGTCATGCGGGAACTTGTCAAAGACAACATGACAGATATATCAAGGCTGGACCTCTGGTCGTATCCATCAGAGAGCATGTGTGTGTTTTCTGATTTCCATTGAGAGATTGCCTGGTTGCACCCTTCATGGGATGCAACACTGGCGATGAGGCTGACTGCAAGGGGCAAATTCCCTGTGAGCTCCAGTAATTGTTTGACATTGTCTTGGTGATGGATATCATCAGCCACATCAACAAAGGTCTGAAGAGCGGCGGAGGTCGAGAGTGGGTCCAAAGGGGCCAATACCGGTCTAGTCCATTTCACTTTGGCTGGCCTCTCAGACCCTCTCATGGTAATCTGTGGTAAAATTTGACAGTTAAACACAATCTATTGAGTCATTGCATTGCTCAGCAACATCTGTGAGTACTGATAAAAATTCTTCTACTTCCAATTGAGAAGACACAGATTCCTAAGGTGTTTCCAGGTTATCTAAAACCAGAAGGGAGGGTGGACTGTGGTCGAGGTAATGGACAATTTTCTGTTCCAGATTGGAACCTTTCTCCACTCCAATATAATCTGCAACAGTGGACACCAGCTGGGCACATGTGGAGCTTGAGTGACATGGAACAAAATATTGACGAGAATATTTCCCCTCCACTTGGGAATCATGAAGAGCGGCTGTGGTAAGACTGGTCTTTCCTATTCCACCAGTGCCCAGAATGGCAATCCGAGTTGAATCCTGGAGAAGAATCTTTATTATATCCTGAAGTTCTGAATCGCGGCCATGGAAAATTTTGGGGGACGGTGGAAGCATAGAGAATGATTCTGCACTGCGGGATTTTCAGTATGGTTCATTAAGACAACTATTTATATCGACACACCTATTGTTGGTGCTGGAGAGAGTTCCGGCAACCTGTAAACTTGAGTTTTTAAAAATAACAGGTGGATTTTATCACTGACCGAAGAACGATCAGAACTGGTCAAATCGGGTTGAGCAATCATGAGGGCCATGACTTCATCATGCAGATGCTTGGCATCTCTCTGCATTTGCCCCATCTGAAAGATTGTTGAACCGGCAATGTGCATCTGCAATTGTGTTAATAATTGACTCAGAAATCTACAAAGGGAACTCTACTCTGAACTTCTGGAGGGCATGATTGAGCTCCTGCTTGCATGTCTCTAATTTCATCACATTATCGGGATGTGTGAATAATTGTTTAATTTTTCCCATCCCCTGCTGTGATTTCAGAAATGTAAACACTTTCTGGAGAGTTCTGGGGTAGTTCTATTTGGAAATTGTCATTGTGAAAGGCACAACAGTTTCACATACTCTGTGAACTTTCCAATATCATACAACAGTGTAGTTGAGAGTAGCCCATTAATTTCTGGTGCTGAATCCAGCTTCACAATAGTACAGAGGACTTCATGAATTTGTTCAACTATTTGAGCAGTATCCTCTTTGTGTGATCGGACAGACTGTTTCCAGTTAAGAAAAAAATGTGACTGGTATTACTGCCTGGATGCTCACTTCAGCACATTTGAAAATCGACAAACTCAATGTTGCTGCAGAACCCAGGAAAGGTACCCGGGTAGAGTCTACAATTCCTTTGGCGGTAGTAGCCGCAATCATGGCATATTGGAGAAGATTTTTGAACGAGGTTGATGATGGTTGCATATGAATCAGGTATGGAAGAGTGATTCCTGTATGGAGAGGGACACCCCTGCGTTTATACCCAACACGCGCATTCAGATTAATTGCTCCAATTATAATTATAGTGAGACAGTTATAATATGTCTGGTTTTGACCAAAAACAGGAGTTGGCATATTTCTTTTTTGGTTGGACAACACTGGTTGAACATATCAAGTTTTTCAGTGAAAAAATTGATGAAAGACTTCTTTTTTTTTTCACCTATTTTTTCAGTGAAAAAGCAGGTGAAAAATGTAAAAGTATTTTCACATTTTTCACCTCATTTTTATTTCGAGTCAAAAAAATGTGAGAATACTTTTACATTTTTCACCTGTTTTCTCACTGAAAAAATAGGTGATAAAAAATTCAAGTCTTTCACCAATTTTTTCACTGAAAAACTCGAAATGTTCAACCAGTGCAATGTCAAATGACAACTTTAATGATACATTTTTTAATAAAATCCACATCGAAAAAGGGCACGTACCCAAAATAAATCCACCTCAATCGCATACGACCACAAATCCTTTCTTCGGGTTTTGCTGGCCTGTGGTTCATAAATGCCAAAAGAAAAAGGAGGAAAAAGAGAGGATACTCGGATTGCCGTCGGGAGGAATCAAACCTCAACTCCCCTCTGCAGAGATATAGTGCGGGATGCGAAAGGGGCGACTATCATGGTCCACGATGGCTTATTTCAATCCTTTGGAGCTTGAGTGGATGCAAATTGAATCGGCGAATAGTATGCGCGCCACTGGAACAAATAACTTCAACGACCGTGGAGCGGATGAGAGGATATCCTGTGGAATCTCGGAATGAACAATCTGACATTACCTAAATTGAAAACGAATATGAAGGGCATGTTCTGCCAAGCGGAATGGACCGCGTGGAAATAGACAAAAAAGAGTACGCATGCTGGAACCTTTCGCGACATGCCGTCGGGAGGAATCGAACCTCCGACTTCCTCTATGGACCTTCCAGAAATTAAGGTTATATGAAAGAGGCGACCCACCATGGGCCACGACGGCTTGTTTCCATCCTTTGTAGCTTGAGTGGGTGCGAATGAAATTGATGAATAACCGCAGTTAACACCATGCGGATCAGGAATACATCAGCTACGACCAGGGCCGAATTCAGGCGGGGAGGCAGGGTACCAGGGGCTATGCACCGCGACGATGCAAAAGACCTAGGTATGATTCGGCTGAAGTGAGAAAATAAAGGAAAGACGAAGATGTATGCCGTCGGGAGGAATCGAACCTTCGGCTCCTCCACGGTCGACTCTATTACTAGGTGACCCACCATGGTCCACGACGGCTGTTTTCCTCCTTTGGAACTTGAGTAGGTGTTGATTAATGAGCGCAGTATGAATACTCGTGTTGCGAGTGCATGGCCACTTGGTCGAGAGGATAAGCTGGAAGGCCTGTGTCACAGAGTGGTAAGTAGGATAAAATCAGGAACGCATGGCAAGCCTCACAGAATTGAAAGGCCGAGTAGCCGCCTTGCGTAGTAGCGTGCTGGCTATCCGGAATCCGTAGCAAAAAATAGCTCTCCAACGATGCAGGCAAAACGAATAGAAATTCAGAACGAGGCAGAGAAGAAAGCTGAAGCGGATTACTCGCCTTGTAAAGTAGATATACAACGTTCCTAATAGCACAATGGTGTGCGTCTGCATCATGCGGACGCATTGAGGATCAAAATATTCCCTCGTTCGATTCGGGGTAGACCTAAACAACTGGATTTTTATTCGAGAGGACGTCCAACGCATGTGTGTTATTCAATTATGATATGTATGATGAAGCTAGGAGTGTATGGGCGTCGTGAATCCAAGCCACTTACTCCCCTTGCGATGGAGGTGTTTGACGCGCCTAGTAGAAAAATTGTGTGCGTCTGCATTACCTAGGTGCTGCTATTGAAAACTTCCGCTGCAGAAGGCCCGTTCGATCCGAGATAGGCACATTGGGCAGCTTGTCAACAGCTTGTAGCCTTGGATTATTTTTTTCGACGTGCACGAGATACAAAGGGGTCTGAAGATGTTATGCATGTGTACAGTGTCTTGATACGGTCGCAAGAAAAATATGGCCCAGAGGCTGCAAAACCTCGGGAGCAAGCGATGCGTGCCGAAAGCGCCGCTCAGTGGGAGCCGATCGGAGTTTGAACCCACCTCGCCTTTGACGACGTCACTGTAACGGCGATCCTCTCATCTCAAGCTTCAAGCTAGCCTTTAAAAGTACTTTTCTCGAACTATACTGTACCTACTGGGACTTTTTCGGGCTCAGAATTGGCCAAGAACCTAACCTAGGGTGACAATAGGGTGAAGCAAATCCTGGACGGCGTGGAAAATAAATATCTTACCTATCTCGTGGTTCTCAAACGCGCTATTGAAGATACCACCAATGCCTCTGCCTGTCATTCATGCACCAACTCCAATAGTATCCGCACCCGCAGCGCTTCACCACAACGCAAACTCGTTGAAAATCTAGTCTTCCTTCGGCTCCTGCTCCGCACATCCCTGGCGCGTACACCCGCATACTCCTCAAGCCCCCAGCTCCGACTCCGGGCGAAACGTTGGCTGCCGTGATCCCCAAGATTAGGGCACAGCTCTCTCCGCGCGACTTGCCGGACGTTAGCGCAGTAGAGCGGACGCCATCCCGCGCCCGGCTAACCAAGAGCCTGGTGAGCCTCTTATTTCCGTGCGTATCGACTCCTTTTCTCACTTCTTCGCCTTTATATGAGCTCACATAGACCCCCAGCCGCCTCCCGCCCAGCGCGTCCCCCACGTGTCGCGCGCACATCGTCCCCCCCTCACCGCACCTAGCGCCTTCTCCCGTATCAACACTAGGACCCGTTGTACCTCCACAGAAACGACTGGATTGCTCCCCACACCCCGAAAAAACGCAGGGCACCGACTTTGCCACCATCACCCGCGAGCCTGGCCGACTCGGCGCCCAGCCTAAAGCGCACGCTCGTCGTCTTCTCCACCGCGTTCTCTAGCGCCACTCCTCCACCGCCTCCGCCATGCACCTCCACCTCCTCCATCCAGCGCCTTCTCTGCGAGTGCCTCTGACGCCGCAGCCCGCACTCACCCAGCGCCTTCTCGACCACCTATAACCCTAAACGCCACCCCACCACCGTGGCCCGCAACTCAGCCTCCTGCAGCGCGGCCCTCTGCAGGTCGACGCGACCTCCTCCCTGTGGAAGCCAGCGCGGTGGGCGCACCCCGAGCCGCATGCGCCGCGCGCTAGCGCACGACGCTTATTCGGGTGGCTCAGCCTGAGCGATTCCTACTGCTGCTTCGAACGAAACCCCGCGCGGGGGCCTAGAACGGACGGCAAGCGCGCGATGCACCGGCTTAACATGCTGTGTCCTCCGCTGCTGCGAGCGACACCATGGGTGCGCGGGTAGAGCGCCAGCCGAGCCGCATCCGCCCCACGCTGGAAGGACTGCCGACCGGGGTGTACGGCGATTCGGTGGCACGCGCCGAGTCTGCAACACCCGCGTCATCGGGGTTGAACCTTCGACTGCAAAATCAGACGAAACCCAGGCTCGATATGGGGCCCCACTCCGACTGGATGAACCCGCATGGAGTTACGGATTCTGCATGAACTCGCTACAGAATGGACTGTGCAATGCTGTAATTTACACTCGCATCCCGTTATGATATTATAATATTCTGTTTTGCGATCTTGGGACGGGTCTGGGCCTGTATCTCTCTCAACGTTGCGCTACTTTGCTATTATGTGACGTCGCCATTCGATGACTTTTCGAGCGATGCAAACACCCCAAACACAATATGTCCGTGGCTCGCAACCCTTCCCTCTCTTCATACCCCATACTCTGCAGTATCTTGTACACATCCATCCATCCTTGTCGAAAAAAAGGAATAAATAAAAATCTCTGGTGTCTCGCGAGCGTCCACTCCCGATCGAGCGGGCCCTTCTGCAGCCCAGGATTCCATGATTGCGACGGCCAGATATGCAGATGCACACCATTGTGCTAGAAGGCGCGTTGGATATCTTCTTTTCTGGGTGCGTAGGTGAATGCCAGCATCGTTTAACATTTGTTTATTCCGCCACGGCTTCCGGAATTTTGGCGCGCTACTCTTCACGTCGGACACTCTGCACTGGTTTAATTTCTCAGGGCTCTTTTGAGCCTTATGTGAGTGGTAGGATAAATCAAGAATGCGGTTCATCCGCCTTGGGGGGATCCTCTCGGTCGAGTTGAATCGATTTAGACGCGACTGCCTTTCGATTTCATTCACACCTACTCAGGTTCGAAAAGCTGATAATGAGCCGTCGTGGACCATGGTGCCCTCACCCTCGTTGATAGGGGAAGTGCCGTTCTCTAATACGAGGGAGTCGGAGGCTCGCTTCGGTTCTGGGCCGAGGTCTTTTTAGTCCCTGTCTTCCATTCGTTCAGAGCTCACTTTATCCTTCATGGAAGTGCAATTTTCAGGTTACTCATTCGGTAAACACTGAACAAGTTCCGCGGGCCCGCCACAATTGTCTTTTGATTCTTCATTTAGGCATCGACATGGGGTTAGTATGTTCGTTTACTTCTGCCCTATATTACATTGCTATTTAGTGATATCGATTTACATCGTCTTGAATAGTCGGACAGGGTCGGGCAAACCGGTGGCCGCGAAGCGTGCTTGGGCCTTTTCGTGCTACTGTACAGTATAAACAGTTCGACTGTTCGCATGGCTTGAATTGCGATAGGAAACTGTTTAAATCCAGGAGTTAGCTACCTTAAATCCCCGATATAGCAATGAATAAACCGGGGGAAGGAGGAGGAACATTATACATAATATGAAATAATGTAGGATGAATTTTTGCAACTAGTGACGGCGTGGCTGTATTGCGAAAGGTGCCCAATGTTAGGAGCCTCTAATGGCCCAAGCTTCTGGTCCCGGAACTTTCTCGTGTAGGGATCGCACAAGTGTAGACTGGCGACCCCAATACGAGTCTCCACATATCCAGCGTAGGACATGATGCCGTGGGAATAGAGATTGGGAGAGCCCACCGACGATGAGAGTGCCGAGTTGACGATGGTGTTGTTAGATATGGAGAGATGGAAAGAGTATAAAGTGCACGGCGCCTTCTGCGCGCGCTCCATTATGGTTTTATTTTTGAGGAGCGTCGACAGCGTCTGCCGCATCCCTTTGAGAGAATAGCGGGAAGGCTGGTGCCCGATGACGTATAGCATGAGTTTGTATGTATCGTGTCGAAGGGGGGATTCATAAAGCCCCATATGAGCGCGGCGTGGATATTTGAATGGTAACGGCTGTGATATGGTAGGAGGCATATCGTAGATACTGATGGCATCGTCGATGGAAGTCAAGCGTGTGGGTTGCCATCGACTGAAGAAATCCTTCAGCGAGAACGCGTGAATCCACAAGGATTGTGGTGGTAGGTGACGGGCAGAGAAGAAGATATGGCCTGCAGCAAGGTTTGTCTGAAGGGGCTGAACGAGGTGGCATCATCAACGAGAGAAGAAAGACATCAAGGAAGCACCTACGATCCAAGGATTGACCTCCGTGGGACTTTCACACTTGAACATGGCAGTCGTTCCTGTACGCCAATTGCCGGCCATAAAATAATTGCCCTCAGTGGGCCCCCACAAGCCGCAGTGGAAAAAATCGCCAGATATTTTGGGCCACGAGGCAAAAGACGTTTCTTGTGGGGACACCAATTCGAAAACCTTTTTGGAGTATCCCGTGTCAAGGTCGATATGAATAAGCCTCATAAGACGAGGCAGGTTGAAGTACTGAAAAATGGCCGATCTTTGATGATCCACAAGTTCGATAGAATACTGGGACCGGCTCACGAGCGGCCAATCGAGAGACCAGATGACCGCAGAGGTGGGCACGTGCCACAACTCCAAATGAAAGCTCTGTTCCACGAGGAGATATGTGCCCCCGGGGAGCAGTTCGTGGGAGCGTGCGTGGTCCGCGCTGGAATCGGAAACCCTGATTTCCCGTGAGATGATTGGTGCTAACTCTGGACGAGACCAAGTTTGAGGTCCGAGAACC